TGCATTGAAAATGTCCCCTCACAAGACAGGAAACAGACCCTCGTTGGCATGACTGGATACAGTTATGAACTGAACCTGAGATTCCAACAGTATATATGCTAGGCTGGCAGAGGGTGCGGCCATAGCTCCTATGACACAGCACCCAGGAAGTAAACAATGGACAATGACGTTTCACCAACGAGGCGTTTTGGGGGGGTATTTTCTGTATTTTCTGTTTCAGAGTTTTACTCGTTACAGGGTGTACTTTGAGGGTTTTGACTCCGCAGACCATTTACATGCATAAAAACCTTCATAACACACAAGGGGACTGGTAATAACCGGAAAAGCATGACATGTGTCCTTTAATAATATAAAAGATTGTATTTGCGTGCATTTCCTGTTCGGAAAGTGGCGCTGCACTGAGAGTGGAGGTGTCCTGAGAGTGGAGGTGTACTGAGTCTGGAGGTGTCCTGAGATGGACCTGTCAGCTCCGGACAGCGCAAAATGCGTACATGAAGCGCTAAGTCATGAACGCAAAACACCATACCCTCGTGGGGGCGCGCTAATGTGATTGGCTTAAAATGGAGGAGACATCTGATTGGCTATAGATAGAAAGAATTACAAGTACGAATCGGGTGACCGTCAGGGGAGTCTCAAAAAACCCACACACGAATGCACAGCGATCCATGCACAGAAAGCGGTTTGTGTTTGCAGGATCAGAGGTTTTAAACGGAAAACAAATATGTGAGGATCAAAAATACATGTACAACTTTTTTCTGTATTTCATTTGATTTACATGTACCGTAATTTTCGGACTATAAGCCGCACCTGAATATAAGCTGCAGCAGCGGCATACCACTCTCGGTTCCACTTTTACCTTTGCGCGCTACCTGTCTCACTCTTTTCCGGCCTCCAGCTTTTCCTGCTGGAACCCGCCGCTTAAAGGTGGGGGTCCGCGGACCGGCCATAGAGCCCATAGAGTTAAAGGTGTTGGCCGTTAGCTGTAAAAATCCATAGATTAGCCGCACCGTTATATAAGCCGCAGCGTCGAAAAATAGGGAAAAAGGCGCGGCTTATAGTCCGAAAATTACGGTATATGAAACGGAACACATTTGTGTGTGCATTGAAAAACACAAGTGTAGATCCGGAAATACAAGTGTGAATCCTTCTGTGTGCATGTGTGTATTATGAGACTGATCTAAGCCCATAAATCAGTGTACACATTCCAGAGAGCAGTTGACATGTTTGAAACACAGGAACCAGAGGAAAATGTAATTATTGTGGCAAGTCACACTTCGCCACTCCCTGATGTTAATTGTGCGTTGAAACATTGGTTCCCCCTACACAGGTCAAGCATAAACTAGCATTTTTAACGATTGACTGTTTGTTTACTTTTTTGTATGTATATCTTTTATAGAAGTTAAAGTGTATATGAAAAAACGAAATAAAAATGACAGGACATGGTGAAGCTAAGAGCTCCTGTATGTGTTCTCTGTGAGTTTGCTTAGCTTACCAGATGGGTTGTTGCTTCAGGTGAATGTACAGGTACACCTTCTCTCCTTTCTTCTCCTCTGGAGCCTCAGACACTGTTACGGAAGAGAACATACAGTATGACAGGTACTGGTACATCTCAATACATTTCCACTGATTAAGTGGAGCAGGAGAACTAAAAGCTTCTTTTGCACTGGTATACAGTAAATTCAACACATCTATTTTTGATGCACTGTACCTGGTGATTTGGGCTTTGTCTCGACAGGGCTTTCCCTATCCCTAGAAAGGAGAATGTGTTTACGAAAAAGAAGAAGTAATGAATACTATTTGACTGTCTGACTGAAAATAATTTAAAAGAGGGGATGCATTTGCTCACTCAGTCTTTGGAGCCATTGAGCTTCTCAGCTTGTTCTCTAGGCCTCCAAAGAAGCCTTTCACATCATTCTTGGATGAGCTTTTGAGGAGGAGCTCAGCTGCATCCTTCTTCACAGAAAGCCAGGAGTTGGCCTTGTTGATGTAGGAGTCCACAGCGGCTGGAAGACTACCACGGTCCAACAGCTCGGAGGGAGACGGCTGGGACTTCCCTGAACAAGAGAAGAGAAGAGAGGTTCAGATGATGACATCTATCTGTATCTGTAACCAATGTTTAAAAGCCCAAGAGGAGAATGTGTTTAAACATCAAAAAAAAAATGTTGTTGGGGTTTCCCTTCCCTGTGTTTTCTATAGGTTTTTGTGTATGTAAGTGGTCGGCTAAGTCTGAAATGTGCAAACAAGAAATATAAAGACATTCTGTCTTTTGATGAAAAACTAATATCTGGTTGGTCATTATAATGACTAATTATCTTTATAAAAAAAAATGTGTTAGTTTCAAAATATATAGAGGAACTTATCTTAAGATAATAAGTCGTTGAGATGTAAACTCATTACACCTTACCACTGTAGTAGTACGTGAAGCACATAGTCATTAGGTTTTTGGCTGGGCTGTAGTCATCCATCTGGTAACATCTGTAAACACAAGGAAGGCTTCTCAATACTCTAATTTCCCCTCCTCGGTTCTCCGGTTGTGACCCGGAAATGGATTTCAGCGCGCCATGTTGAAGGACATCTTATTTCTCTAAATGCACATCGAGGACCGAGCATCGAGCATCAAGGAG